AAAGATCCATTCAGATCTTTCATTAAATAATGTTTTACTAAGTACGTGAGATTTCTTCTAATGATAAAGTTCGTCCAACGTTTTAACAAGTGGTTTTTGAACGAAGAAAACTTTATATTTGCAACTGCGAATCCCACAAATTCTGTGTTTGAGTACAAGGGAGTGAAATTCCTTAGCTCTTTGAACAAGAATCCCCATGAGTGAACGTTATAATAAATGTCTAAAAAAGCAAAACAAAGCACAGAAAAAATTATGGACAAAGTTCTGTTCAATTTACAAAAGCGGTCAGATTTAATTTACCAAACATCCCAGGCAAAAAAAAAACATACTAAAAAGTAGAAAGAAAAGAAACAACAAATGTTCAAAATCATTCAACTATTTGTCCCATTAATGTAAGCCAAAATCATTCAACTATTTCTCTTACAATACTTGAAGTATGAATATAACTATATCATTCCTCTCCTTTCCCAACCCCACACCTCCAAAACATTAATCTTTTGTGCATTTTGAAGGAAATCTACCAAAAGTCAGTGGGCATGAATACATCAGCAATATCTGCATTCTATCCAAAAGCATGACCATTTAATAATTAGGCAAGACCTATTCTCTACTTAGAACTGTTCTAGTGCAAGTAACATAGAATATATCCAAATTAACCGTCCTTGGTTAGTAATTCCAAACAAAATATTATTCCCATTTCCATCAGCTCTCTGAAATTCCACTTCTCAGTTCCCACCATCCACCACAGCCAGAAATTTATTTCTTACCATAAAAAACATTAACATTTTAACTTGATTATCATTCATTTTTCTATAACAAATTTAAAGAAGAAAAACCAGAAAACACACAATTAACAATGTCATCAATCCTTCACGCCCAAACCTAATATAAATTAAAGAAATCAAAACACTGAGAAGAACATACAACCCTCACATCACAGAGAATCAACTTAACGAAAATTTCAAACATCGATGCCGGAAAATAGGGGATAAGGGAGAAAATGGAACACGAATCGACAAAGGTGTACTATGAATCCGAAGCAAATTTAAACCTAACCCTAACATAGAGTCACATCAAGATGAATAGATATTAATAAAGCAAAATTAAAGATGGATTAAGGAAAGAACCTGAAAGAGACGTTAAGCTATGGTTAATACATGAATGAATGGGAATTTAGTTTATGTACAGTACATTGAGGACAGAAGAGCGACAAAGGGACTGTCCCAAATGTACTATATAAAAACAAATACTATAATTACAAAAATAAAAAAATTAATTAATTAAAGTATCGTAATTTAAAGTTTAATTGAAGTATATACTTTAATGAATAATTTTTCTACTGATATACTTTAATGAATACTTTTTCTACTGATATACTTTAAAGTTTATTATATACTTTAATGAATAATTTTTCTACTGATAAAAATCACTGTATATAACTACGCAAATATATATACTTTTGGGTTATTAATATTCTTCAAAAAATTTATAAAGAAATAGTTGGTTTTGTATTTTGAAAGGGTTGTCTTTTTCATATATAAAAATGTTAAATTTAGGCTTGATTAACAAGACAATTTAGGTTACTGAGTTTTTATAAATTTATTTTCTCTCAGAACTAAGTCATCCGACAATAGGTTCTGGAGTAAAAATCACAGTGATACCAAATTGACACAGTGAAAATCATGTGAATTGAATATTCAGTTTTTGGCTACTGTTGGTCAATGACATAGCTGTTCCCTTCAATTCTCAGCATGGCAGCAAATATTAAAGAGGAGAATAATGATCACAGCAAGTTTTATAGCAGTGAAATATCATGGCTGCATGTATATTGGAAAAAAACTAGTGAGGGAAATGTAGAAAAAACTTATATCAACAAGTTCAGTTTAAGATAAAATGGTATTTCAGTTACCTGTGCAGTTTAGTTCAATTAGGGTGCGAGAAGATTTGAAAAAGAAAGAATACATAAGTTGATTTAAGACTACATTTTATATTAATTTTTTTAAAGAATTTAGAAATGATTATTTACAAGTTAAATTTTATAAAAATTTGTGTGGGAATTAATTTATATAATAAATTAAAACAATATTTTAATTGATGAAAAATGAAGGTTATTAAATTACTTTAATGATAATAAAATATTATAAAATGGTATTTATAAATAAGTAAAAATTATTTTAAATAGTAGAATAAAAAAAATTAAATAATTAATACAATATTTATAAAAAGAATATTTTAGTAAGTTAAAATTAATTTATATACATATTTGAAAGTAAAAATTTAAATAAAATAATTTTAAAAACTATGAATTAACTTATATATAAACAAATTGTATTTTATAAAAATAATTTTTTAATTTTTTTCTTCTAATATTTTTTCTCAAATATTTATGATAAAATTCATGTATTTGAATTATAGACCATAGATAACATCTCTCGTCTAAATAAGTTTAGATATTTTTTCAATTATATAAAGAAAATGTTGGAATCGGTTACACTTGGTGATAAAATGAGTTACACAAAATTCATCCTCTTTCAAAGTTTTCATTGGAATTCAATTCTTCAACTTGTATCATGAACCGATTACAGGGTGGAATAGTTCTTGATTCATCTTTAACCTCGTATTGGTCTTTATTTATATGGATCATTTGTTCATTTGTTCATTTTTAACCTTGAGTTTTTCTTTATTTGGAAGATCATGACGACCTTAGGTTATGCGAGAAGACTCTCTCAACCGCTGCGAAACCCTAATAACCTTAGATTCTTCTTTAATATTTTTTTTTCTAGGACAAAAAAGTTTTCTTCCTAAAATACCCTTAAATCTTAGTCCATAAAAAAAATGAAAATTCATTTGCACATAGAATGTACATCCCTTCCTGGGGAACACAGCCTTAAATATTGTTGTCATAACTTTTGTTTTTTTTTTCTTACACATCAATCTTATAGATAAACTAAATTCTAATTACTTGTTATCAATTCTAATGATTTGTTATCATAAATCAATAATAATTATTATTATCCTCTTACAAATTTTTTAAAATACTTATATATTATTTTATAAGAAATTATTAAGAAAAATAATTATAATTTTATAAAATAAAAGTGATCATTTTATAATAAAAATAATTTTTCATTTCACTTTTAACTAAAATCAATTTTATAAATTACCAAAACTAAAAATTCATGCACAACTTTTTTTCTCTAATTAACTTTTTGTAGGCTGTTAAAAAACTAAAACTTGATAATTAGTTTATAAATATCTTTTTTATCAGATATAATTAAATTATATATATATTTATATACAAAAAATATTTTTTTATTTATGTTTTTTTTTTTAATTTTATCTTTTACATATCTATCTTAAATCAAAATAATTATTTTATCAATATTTTGTTTAGTGAATTTTTCATTAAATTTAATCAACTTGATATTTTTTAAACTTAACTATTTTTAATTAAAATATTATTTAGAAAATAAATAAAAATTATTTTTAATAAAATTATAAAAATTATATAGATTTAATTTAATAATTATAATAACAACAATAATAATTTTATTATTTTTTAATGCAATAAAAAACGAACACTTTGTGTAAAGTGTTTTTTAATGTTTCTAAATACTGTGTGCAATACATCCGTGGTATGATTTAAACAATAATATTACAATTTTTTTTTTAATTTAGGTAACATTTAGTTGTACGAACACAATGTAACATAAAATATACATGAACTTGGTTTAACTTAATAAACTAAAACATTATTTTCAAATCAAGCTAGAAAATACACAGTTCATCAAACCAAACAATACTGGTTTAGTTTGGTGTATTGTGTTCCAAAATTCTAACTAAACTATTTATGACTACTGAGAAACATGCAATGACCATAAGGATACAATGTGAAAAACTCTTATGAGAATAGGGATTTTAGATTTATGTTTTTTTTGTAAGTGTTGTTAAACTGTATTTTTTGAAGTTTTCATTTTGGGATTTAGGATTGTTAATAGTAAAAAGGATTAAGTGAAAAAAAAAGACTATTAATAAACATTAGAGAAAAAAAAAGAGATAAATATTTTTTTTCACAAAAGTATTATATAAAATTGAAAATATCCATTGCCAAAATTTTGACATTTAAAAATATTTGCTTTAGTTCCTATTTTTCAGTTGAATCAAAATTTATCCTACATAACAAATAGTACTTCTACTCAGCATCCAATGCAGCAATAAAAAACAGTAACAGACGTCTAACCAATTCAAGAACAAAGATGTTGATAAAGGTCAAACATGTGTTGTTTTCTTTATTTTTAATCAAAGGTCAAACATGCGTTGTTTTCTTTATTTTTAATCAAATAATTTTAGAAAATAACTTGGTGATTAAAAAAAAAAAACTGCTTTAACTTTCATATTCCTTCATTTTTTTCAAAAGGTTCCATGGTCTTCAACCTTCATTCCTCTATCCTCAAGGTTCAATTTTCACCTTCGTCCAGAAAACAAAAACTCAATTACCATATACATTCCATCATCACCCAACTCACACTACATCTCATCACCATCTTCCAACCTTTCATCACATTTCATCATCTTTTTCACCACTTTTCTTCCAAAAATATTCCAGCACACCACATGACTAAACCCTCAATCCCTTCAAATACCTACACATTTCTAATTTTATATTATAGAACTAAAAACATATTTATTTCTAAAAAAAAAACAAAAGAATAAATGAGAAATTATAAAACTGCAATTTCAGACTATATAATTATAGGAGATTCAATCACTAGATGACTGAAAATGATGCAAAATTTTAATACAAGAGTAATTGTGTTTCATTATTTCACTAAAACTCTATGAACAACTCTAATCTTGACATTGAGTATTCCAAGGACACAACAAACTAAGAAATGAAAAAAAAAAAACAGAAAAGAAACCTCATGAAAATAGGGTAAGAGCTCATTTAAAACACATCCTTAGAAAAAATTGTTTGGTTATGTCAACATTTTCAAAATTCATTATCAGTGAATGAAATATAAAAATTTACATTATAGGAAAAGTTATATTGGAAGTTATCTGTTTCACTCAGTGAAATAGAAGTGCACTATGTTACACGTATTAGAAGAATAACCATGACAAATACGCATGTCATCACAAACATCACAAGCCATGTTAGGCAAGAAGTCTTGGAACTCTCTGAATAGATTGTCGTTGCTCGCACATTGGCCCGACCGGTGCTTGCCAAACTATGCTCAATGGCCTTCTCAGTAGAATCAAGTATCTGCAAGCCAGCACAATCAATTCATTAGGTTATCGCCTGGTTGAAATGACTATTGAATCAACATAACATGTAGAAGTAATATTACAGCACTGCTATAGCCATACTCTGCAGTACAAAAATAAATCTAAGCCGAACTTTCAAGAAGATGAAAACTAGACTAATGTAATAATGTAACCACCATACATAGAATATTCAATCGTAAGAATTGGATTGACTTTCATTTCATATATATTCAACTCAGGAGGATCGAAAACACCAGGGATCTATATTGTAACTCACTCCTATCAAGATCACCTTTCAGAAAAGATACATTTCAATTGTAAAACAATAAGATAAAACTTTATTGAATATAAAAGAAGATTTTCTTCTAATAAACTTTGTCCTGGATGACATTAGTCAGTATCACCACGGCCACAAAGTGAGGTATTAACAAAAAATCCCCTTCCTTCACTCTCACCATGCTAGTGAGCATCATCATCTCGCACATCCATTTAAAGGTGGGATTGAATAAAAATATAAGAATCGAACCTTTTCAGTATTTTGCAGGCTCTGGCTCATCATGAGACTACTCTCTTTGAGTTGTTTTGCCAACACCACCATCTCATCAGTCAAATCTTCTTGAAGCATTCTAGAGTATAAAAGTGGACAATAAAACAATGGAGTGAAAACAAAAGGAAATGCACAATAAATGCAAAGTATATAAACAGTGAACTTAAAATATAAAAGGAATTGATCTAATATATTTGCATAAATAATTTTAAAGCAATTGTCTAAGGCATGATAATTATAGTCACTCAGAAACATGCCAAGGACCCGTCAATGATGACCAGATAAACTCCCAAATATAAATGACCTTAGTAATCCCCCATATAAAGGCAAGAGTATGCGGTAACAGTTAACCAGTTACCAATGATGTAACAATTGACATGAATATATCAGTGCTTGACCTGAAGAAAAATATACTTTGCTGTTGTGGACAAGTCAAATTAATGAACACAAGGATTGCAAGTTTACGATTCTTCACCAAAGCAGTACAGAGTCCATTGACCCACCGCTACATAAACTTTAAATAACAACTCAAGTAAACTGTACCTGTGCTTTTCAATGTGTGCGTGTGCACTAGCATCCAGTTTGACAGGTGATGTATTGTCAGTCTCAGCAAGGTCGTGTACTTTATCTTCTGTGTATGATGTGGGTCTGTCCATTGAAACAGATGAGCAACAGTAAAACAGTCTACAAAATATGTATAGTAAGAAAGCCAAACTATAGCTTACACAGGTCTTCTTCTCAACCCAGACGAAAGGGGTATCTGCTTTTTTTCCTCAATTTCAGAAGAGTTTTCTTCAACAAAACTCCTCTCAAAAGCCTTCTCGGATACTTGTTGGTCAGTCTGGGTTAAGAAAACTGTGGTTAAATGATTGCACCTATTTGGCCAAAAAAAACTAAAACACAGATAAGGAAAAACCAAAAAGGAACAAATTTTCACCAGATTCAGTAAAAAAAATTAAATCCATAAACCTTAACTTTTTAGTCATTTGGCTTAAAGACTTTTTCACACTTTAACATCTCTCAAGGATACATTAATTCACAAATACATACCACGTGGTTAACTAATTTGGAAGCAATGGCTTCAACCTTCTCTGAGTACTCAATCAACGTAGCCTTTGAAATCCTGCATTAGCAGAGCAGAGCGAATACACACACAAATGAATGCACATGCATAAAAAGTAGGGGGAATATAATAGCTTTAATTTATTTATAAGTTACAAAAATGAAGATAACGGACTATCTAGGGAAGAAAAAGGAATCAACTAAGTTAGTTTTTAAAGAAATATAATATAATCTTTTCTGTGTGTATCTTGTACTGAGTGAGTTTTTGGCTAATTCAGTCCAGCCAACTGGCATGTGACAATCGCTGTAACTGTCCATAACTGTTTTGATTCCTTGTAGGGTAACCAGTAAGTTCAGTCCAGGCAGTTGGTATGTGACAAGTTGGCTGTAACGGTTAATGTTCCATAAAGAGCAAGCTACTTGTAGCTATATAATCTTTGTTGTAACAAAATTCTAAATGAAATGAGAAATAAAACTTTCTTGCTTCAATTCTCGTCTTCGATCTTTTCACAGTAAAATCTAACAATTTATACAAATCTTAGATTTTATCAAAGGCTTACTTAGAAGGTCAGGAAGTATAGCTTACGTTCAACATGAGTAATATCTTAGAGAGAACTCATTGTCAATCATAAAATAACTCCATTCTTTTATTGCATAGTCTGCTGGACCTATATTTATCCTTTAAATATAAGGATAATTATTGTGGTAGTCTCCTTTTAGTTAAGTATGTTATTGGACTGAGCTTATACCAATTGCTCAATACTAGCTCTTGACCTAGAATATTTTCTGAATAAAAGTCTTAAATTATTATTTTACATTACAACATCACTCTTCTCCTCTTTTTTTTTTTTTCATTTAATTCCCTAAAATTTTAATAAGTAATAGTTTCTAGCATTCAGCTGTTTAAACCCAAACAATGCCCATTAGATAGAAAAACCTACTGTACTAATAGTTGCATATCTTGATTAAAAATTTGGGGTGGCCATATGATGTTCAGATTGTGTTTAGTGTAAACTATATCTAATTTCTTCTTTTACATTTTTCTATTCCACGAAACTTTTAAACTTGGGCAGCCACCTTCCCGCACCCCATTCCATACCCTGTGAAGACCCACCTCCGCCACTTACAGCTTATTAAAATTAAGGGTAAGATTTCCAAGAATAAAAACTACCCCATGATTGTGTTGTCATTTAGAAACAAAAACTGATGTTATGTCGTTTCACTTATAATTCCATGACATCTATGTGTATTAAATGGTAAATAAAGAGACACCAATACCTTGGTAAGCCCTCTGGTGTCTTTTCTTCACCCAATTGCTCCAATTGTTCACGTAAAGTAGCAACATACTGTAGAATGTCAGAATCAACAAAGGATTAACTATGTCTTCTAAAGTTAACAAATGACTAAATAAAACATATAGGTCAAGAAAATTAGAAAAATATTATTAACATAATGTTTTTAACTCTAAAATTAATAATACAAAAAAATCTTCAGACTTACATGCACCAGTTTTGCCTGGTTTTGCTGTTGAGGAGCAGCTGCAAGCAACCTCCTTAAGTTTACTTCTGTTTTACTGATTCCCATATCTATAGTGTTCAGAAGTTATATAAATGATCTATAAATTAAACATCATTAAGCAAACAAACAAAGGCGATTATGTATCACTCTGAAAACAATTATCGCTTATCGGTAAAGCCTATCCGGTCAAGTTACCCAAATTAAACTCAACCAGAAGTCCTAAATATCAACGAAACCATTTCAACAAGTTTAAAGTTGAGAAATAAACTTTGCTTCCAAACATGGGCATACCGGTGCATCTTTTTGCAGCAGTAAACTATACTTTTACATAATACAGATTAAATAAATCAATTAATGCCAATTTCTAGTGATATATACACTGTAATTAAAATTAAAACTAGAACATTCCATTGAACAAAGACCAAAGCTTCTATTAGATTAAGAGTGAAACAAAAAGGAAAAGTACAAAGAAGGAAGAAATATAATTGTCCATCGGTAAAATAATCAAACCCACGATTTACAAGCTCAGCATCGTGGGTGGTTATATAACATGATCTAAGACTTATCTGCATATCCCTAAAGAGAACTACAGCAACCAATGATTTGACTGAATTAAAAGGGAAAATAAAACCTAGTTTATATCTCATGACAACCAACATGTTTTCGCAGTAGATCACATTGAAGTTGAAAGAGCAAAAGGTAGACAACTTACCCTATGGACGACGAAGTTCTATCGCATATCCTACTCTTGATTTTTGATCACTTTACACGCGTACCCTAGAATCTATTTTGGTCACCGTTCAACTCCCCCGCGCGTGACTCTAGTGCCAACGTTCGACTCCCATAAGCTTCTCCAAATGTCTGTTCGAAGCGAGAAAGAACAAACTTCAATCGCGATTTAGAATTTGGGCAATGTGGTGGTTTTCAGTTGTTAGGGCTTTGGAAAAATTGGAGAATTCTGGAAATATATTCGGAGTTTGAATAAGGAGTTTCAGAGTTTGATTAAGTAAAGGAAGTTAAGAACGTTAAGGGTCCGTGAATTTTTCTTTTCACCATGATTCAGAATGATATTACGAAACACCCGAACCCAGATAAGTAGTAAATCTTATTACTTTTTAATTAAGTGATTCTTTTATGATTTCTTATTTCAAAAGTATTTGTATTTATTTATTTTATTACTTTATTTATTTATAAAATTCAAATTTGAAAATATGTTTGAAAAAAATAATAGAAAAAACATGAAAAATGCTTATTAAAAAAAATGAAAGTAAAAAGTAACAAACGGTTCTGTCCGTCGGCGAGAAGAATGGAGAAGAAGAAGAATCATAGAATTAAGAGAAAAAGGAACGAAAAACCCTCGGCGCGTGAACTTCACCGTCCTCGTTCCTCGGATGCCAATGCCATTTTCGCTCAGTTACTCGCATCACTCTGCAGCAGACCCAACTCTGTTATCTTCATCAACAAATGCTTATTCAAACTTCGCCGTTCGGTTCTCATCTCGCAGACCTCGCTGACGTCCACTTTGGCGTTGCTCCCAACCCTACTCCGCTCCACGCGGGTGGAAATCGTGTGCCTCGCTGCAGACATTATCGGCGCCGCCTCGCTCGTTTCCTTCGACGCCAACGAGGAAATCGCTTCTGATTCTGAAACCGTCAAGGGACTAATCTCGCTGTTGCGCAGTCGCAAGAGGAAGGTTTTGTTATCTGCCTGCAATGCCATTTTAGACTTTTCCACTACCACCTGCGCCCGACGACAATTGCTCAATTTTTCTGCGTTGAACAAATTGATGTAAGCATTTACGCCGTGCGTCGTTTTACTTTTTTTTTTCTTTCAAGTTTATTAAATTAAGCATGTGATGGGTGACTGCACAATTGAATTGACATTACTTAGGTTTGTGTTTCTTCAGATTTTCAATGGTTTGGAATGCGTCTGTTTATGGTCTGAGGGGGATGGAAGTTTTTGCTCTCTTAAGATTGGGATTAAGGAAGATAAACTGTCACTGGTTTTTCTCACTGCAACTGTTGTTCTTATCAATGCCTGTGAAGCTGAGCAGCTACAGGGTATCCCACAAAGTCTTTCTGGAGCATTTCTGGTAATTTTGAAACAGATAAGGGTGAGAGTGAGTGATCAAGAGGTGATCAAAGGTGCTGGGAAGTGGAATGAACAAGGGCATCTTTGTAAGAGTAGCATTACAGTTAGTAATCTTGCAGAATGCATCTTTAGGCTCTCCATTAATGCTTCTCAACTTACTGGCCCTTTGTCTTTTGAAGTGGTTCAAAGAGGTCTTTTTGGTGCGAGTGATACTAGTTTTAAAGATTTTATATCAAATTACTGGGAGGTTTCCCCTTTTCTGCTGGCGAGGACCATGAGGGATCCAGACATGCATGATATGTTTGGTGCATTTGTTCAGTCTTTGAGCTGGAAAGGGAGCGTTCCTTCTCTTCTTTCCTCAATTCTTCAAGGATTAGTGGCTTGTTTTCCTATTGCCTCAGATGAACAAAACATACTTAATTTTCTGGATGAGGCAAAAGGTAAACTTGGCTGCCCTATAGTCTACCAGCAGGATATACGTGTTGTCAAAACAGAGAGGCAATCAACAAAAGAAATGCATTACTTTCGGGACTTTAACTCAAGCTGCGTTAAGGAACCTCAGTACTTTACTTTTCATGAGATCTTAAAATGTGGGGAAGCATATAACGAGGGGTATACTGTTGCTCTGCGTGGTCTGGAGTTTCGATATCAGAGCATTTCGGCTATTGCAGATACTTTGGCACTTATGTTTGGTCAACCTTCAGTTGGTGCTAACTTGTACTTAACCCCCCCTAATTCCCAGGGTTTGGCTTGTCACTTTGATGACCACTGTGTATTTGTATGCCAGATTTTTGGTTCCAAGCAGTGGACTGTATACTCTCCACCCAGTCAGCTGTTACCTCGCTTGTATGATAATTTACTTGGTTCTGTTGTTGACTATACAAAAGCTGGTAGACGAGAGTTCATTCTCAGGGAAGGTGATATATTATACATTCCCAGAGGTTTTCCGCACAAAGCATGTACAGAATCTGGTGTTGGTGATGGTTCTCCTGGGTTCTCATTGCACCTTACCCTTAGTATTGAGGTTGAACCTCCTTTTGAGTAAGTAAAAGTTAACTTCAACTAACCTTTTATTGTTTCAAATACATTAACTTTTTTATAAAGCTTCCTTTGTTCATTTGCTGCTACAACTTTATTAATTTTATTATGGCCTTCTATATATTATTTCATTTTATCATTTTCTTTTTCTGTTCCTTTTGTCTTTTTTATTTAACATTGTGGTTATAAATTCTGTTATTTGTTGTTTCCTTCATGTAATGAAATTGACAATATTTAACTAGCTGATGGTCGTATGTCATGTGGTAAGATGATAGAACTCTTGACAAAGATAGAAGTAAAGTAAAGGTAATTACTTATTGATTAATAGGGGATATCTACCAATGAGAATCACACGAGTTTCTGATATTTTGAGAGGTCTGGTCAACTCCTTTCAACTTTCTAATTCTTAGAAAGTCCCTCAACAGTATCCCATTAACAGATTTGCAGCTTGACAGAAAACTACCCTTAATTGGGCATCAAGCTACCTCCTAAAATACACTTGCTTAATCACAAGGCTGCTATCAATACTCTCCCAAGGTTTTTACCTGGTCCTCAAGGGGAAATGAGGGAAAGCTGTTCTGGATGGCTACAAATTGTTCGCATGAATCCTCACAGGAAGGAAGATCCTCGCGGTGAAGAGGAACTTTCTGTTGCACATTGATCTCCATACCTAATAGCTAACACATCTTCTGGTTGGGGTTTTAACTCCAATTCCTCAATCAGTACTGGTGGTAGAGTGGCCCAAATGTTCATGCAATGCGTTCTCTCAAATTTAGAAAGAATAATATATTTCTTTTGTATTTCAATTACGAGGCCATTAGTCCTATTAATTAATAGTAGTTGTAAATATAAAGAGCTAATTCTAAGGAAACAAATCCCGGTAATTATATGGTTGTCTTTAAATACATTATCCTTGCTTTAATAGCAAGATGCAACTCTAATAAAGAATAAAATTACAGAAAGGATAAAATAAAAAAACTTCCTAAAATACATAATGAGCAACATGGTTTTGACACTTCCCCTTAAACTGGTGAGTAAGTGTTCTTTGATCCGAGCTTGGATATAATTCTTTTAATGTGAATGCAATTTAGCCCTTTGGTGAGTATGTCTACAAGTTGATTTTGAGTGGACACATGGGATGCTAATCAAGCCACTGTCTAGCTTTTCCTTGATAAAATGTTTGTCCACCTCAATATGTTTAATTCTATCATGTCACACTGGTTTGTGAGCTATACTACTCGCAGATTTATTATTGCAATATGATTTTTAGTGAACACATGTGATGCTAATCCAGCCACTGTCTAGCTTTTCATTGATAAAATGTTTGTCCACCTCAATATATTTAATTCTATCATGTTGCACCAGGTTGAGTTATACAACTCGCAGATTTATTATGGCAATATGACCTCATTGGTTCATCCCACTTCTTTCAATATTATCTTCAGCCATAGAAGTTCACATATTCTTTGGGCCATAACTTGAAATTCTGTTTCAGCACTTGATCTCACTACTACATTTTGTTTTTTTCTCCTCTAAGTCACTGGGTTTCCACCAAGAAAGGTGCAATATCTAGCTAGCAGTTGATCTTGTATCCACAACTAACCCTGCATAATCTGCATCTATATATGCTTCAAGACTTGCACTATTGTTTCATTTAAATAAAACCCGTCTTCTTGGAGTCCTTTTTAAATACTGAATAATTCTAAGAGTTGCTTGTAAATGAGTCTCCTTTTGTTGGTGCGTGAATTGGCTTACTAGACTCAGAAAAGGCAATGTCTGGCCTAGTGAATGAAAATTTCCTCAAAAATGGACTCAACACGTCGTGCACAAAGGATTAAAAAGTAGGTGCCTTCTTAAGGCCAAATTTGGTGGTATCGTAATTTAAGGCCGAACTTGGAAAAAATGGTTTCCCCTACTAATTCATCATGTAACAAATCTATCACCAGTGTAGGGGGGTTTATCAGGAATAGTCATAGTATTAAGACTATTTGCAAGCAATACAAAATTACCAACTTCCATCCTTCTTTTGTACCAAAATGATAGGACTTGAGAATGCTCAGTCTAATGATTCCTGCATGCAACATCTGACTGACTAGTTTCTCAGTTTCAGTTTTCTCAGTGTGGATACCTGTATGGTCTCAGGTTTAGAATTTAAGCTCCTTCCTTCAAGGTAATGGCATGATTTTGTCTTGTAGGAGACAGCCATTGAGGCTCCTCAAAAACCTCTGCAAACTCCTGCAACAACTGCTACACAGTCTCTGGACATGGCTCCTATGGTTGCTTTTTTTTATTCGGCCATAGAAACAATTCATTAAACACCTGTGCTGTAACTCCATCGTTTTTACCATTGCTTGAACTGAAACAGAATCCTCTAGAGAGATGGATCCCCTCTAAGCACCACTTCTTTATGAGCTCATTGAAGTTGGCTTTGATCTCCGGCAATTCCTCTAACCGTTCCAACCTGAACACTATCACTCCATGTAAGTCAAACAAATAAAAGTTTTGCTGAATCTCTAGTCCTTGTAATTGAAGCTTCATTTCAGAGCACATCCCCTTCTCCTCTCCTTATAGCCATCTCCTAACGTAACCCAATAAGTAGAGGTTTTTAAATAGGGACCCTCATGTTTTTCACTAGGGTCTGTGAGACAAAATATTGAGTGGCACCACTGTCTATAAGGACAGTTACTTGTTGGTTACCAAGATTTCCTCATAATTTAAGAGCCTTTTAGGGTGTGAGGCCAGCCATATTTGAAGGTCCAGCCAGCTGCACATGTCCACTTGTGTATCCATTGTTTCTTCTATGATGTCAATTTTTTCATCATTTTTTAAATATTCCATTCCCTTCTCCATCACTTCAAACCACTGCTTGTCCAGGTGTTGTTCCTCATCATGACGTTGCTGCATCTCCATTTTTAATTCAAGTTCTTTGTTTGACACCATGATGAGTCCACCAATTTCTGAGCAAGAAAACTCCAAGAATCTGCCACAACTTACACCTGCAATTCCCAGATCAACTGTTTTATATACCAATTGATAGAATTCTTGACAAAGAGAGAAGGAAATCTAATTCTTTATTGATTAGTGGGGAATATCTCTCTCAGAATGGCGCAAGTTCTAGATATTTTGAGAGGTTTGCTCTGCTCCTTACAACTTTCTAATTCTCAAGAATCTGAACTATCCCATTGAACCCTTTTATTGTAACAGATTTACGGTTTATAACAAAAAACTACCCTTAGACGGACCCATCCAGTTGTGGCCCAACTACTTTCTCCTAAAATACACTTGTTTAATCAGAGCTCTGCTATCATAATGTTAAATCTATACCTGCCCCTTTCTCTTGTATTCCATTAAAGGAATGCAGTTGTGGTAGGGAAAAACATATTTGAGTAAAAAAAGGAAGATATATCATTTTACACGTCTCATGTAGCATAGCGTTTGCACAACTATGCCATAATTGCATGATGTCACGTGCATTATTTGTATGTAAAACAAAACTTTAAAGCATATATTTCCAATAACAGATAAGCTATAGGTACACACACAGTTATACTTATCTATTGGTTAAATCCCAGCTTCTCAGGATGTAGAGTGCAAGTACGCAAAATCAAGCTGTATAGAACGTTGATTAGGTATACTCCACTTTATTTCGTGATGACTGATGCATCCATTTAAATGTGAGAACTTCAAATAGAAAAGGCAAATAACTCACAAGTCACAAATATAAGCATAGAATCTGAAATCTGAATCAAAGAAGAATTCCTTATGCAAAAATTATGGATAAAACCCAAGAGAATAATTTAGCAGAAACATTTTCTGTTGAACATATATATAGGCCCTTTTTCTAATAAGTTAGATGGTCTACATCTAGATATTCAAGCACTTATGTGCATCCACCAGAGGAAGGAGGCCTATGCCAGGAATTAGCGGTTGGATCAAGTGGCCTGTGACCAATGGGTATCTCCCATTAGCAGTGAATGGAAAACAAACACATGGTGAATGACTGACAGTAAAAATGAGGATGATGTATGTTTCCAAGGATTATGAATCTGGTTGATAGCTTGAATTTGTTTTCAAAGTACTACTTTTCAAAATAGAAAATCATGAAAAAAAATTACTGCAAAAATAGGATAGCGGAAACATAGAGGTAATCCTTCCAAAGTTATTGCTGCATCTTAGATATTTCTTTTATACCTGCCGCAATTTCCTCCATATGGTGTGATTTTATATTTTCTCTTTTTCTCTGGCCACTTCAATAGTTCATTGTATCTACTGTCAGAGAGTTGTTACTAGAATTGAGCTTAGTTCAGTTTATTATGTTGTAACAAACTCCTGTATCACCATTCTCTAGTCCAGTAGGTTTGATGCTAGGAAGAAAATGGCTCACATGCAATCTCCCATGCCCATGGATGAATGTCATATTTGTACCGTCAAATATAATGTGTCTGTTCTGTTGATATACAGGTGCTGTTAATTGATGTTTTTAATGCTTATAGTGATCAAATTATATGATACAACATATGATTTCAGTAATACTTGATAATATCATTGTCGATTCTTTATCTTTTTTCAATGGGAAATTAGAAGTTTCGTTCTGAAAAAGAAAAACATTGTCTACATCAACAATTATACATTTAACAGTCCTGGTCCACTTTCGTTGGCAAACATGCTTGTTTTAAAAAATTCTGAATCAATAAGCCGTTATAGTAGTGGTCAGATCTTGATGCTATCATTCCTGTCCAGTCAAATCGGGTCCATCTTTGACTAAATGGAACCAGTAGGCCATTCCGTCCGATAACAATGGCGATAAGCATGGGCCTACATCCATGGGGAGGGGCCAGCTATTTCCCCATAAATTAATTATTTTTCTAGTTTTATTTAAATATGCAATAAAGAGATTACTGATATTAAATATTTATACTATTTGTGTTTTTAAGTAAGTGTTGCTGTTTTGCTCCTGACCTTAAGTTCCATCGGTTAGTTATCAAATTCTACAGGAGCACAGGACAACCTATTGAATATTGATTGAACCACTAACACTTTCAGAGTTTGGTCTGTTGTAACATCACAAAATATTGCTTGCAGCAACATCATCTAACACCTCTTGTTCCTTAGCAATTAATTCTCATGATTTCCATTGATGTTAAGTATTATGAATGCATTTATTTTCTTTATTAGTTATTTTTTGTTCCTTCAAGTTGAAGATGTATATTGCTCTATATTGACTGATTAAAAATTATGTGATAGATGTTGTTTCTGAAGCAGAAGACTGAAGCAATGCATGTGGAATGACCCACACTAAAATCAATTATTAAAATTAGACAAGTCTGCAGGACATATGGGCAGGCTTTTAGACACATGTCTTTGGAAAGCTGGTTCATGGACCATTTTTTCTAGTATTTTATGTAATAATGATGCCTATGTGAATTATTACTCTATTGATAAGGATGAGTATTCAATTTTTCAACCTTTCATCTTCTGGTTGGTCTGTCCTCTATACCACATGAAGATTGAAAGTGGGATTTACTATGTTTGGTTGATATGAGATATGTTATTACTTGATTTCTTTTCTTTGGGAAGATCATTTAATCATTAGGTCTTCCTATTTATTCATGATTATTTTCCTAATTTATTTAAAATTTCCTTTTCCTTTGATTGTGCGTGATTGCTGGATTTTAGGTTATATTTGTGCCCCATATTGATTACTTGAAAAAGATTGAAGAGACTATAAGCACTGTGGATGACAATCCGGTGCAGTTCTCAAAGAACTGCAATGATCTAAACCCTTATTTTAACGTTCAATTCTGTGATTAAAAAGAATAAGAAACTTGGTTTGATAAATATTGAGTTGAGAGCTTACTATCAATCATATTAGAAATCTTGCAGATTTTTGTCCGTGGCTCTGTGCACTCTGTTAATGATGCAAACGGCATCACATTACAAATGAAAGATTTCTCTTGCTACTTTAGGGTTCAAAATATTGTAGCCATGAAGCTTGTTATCTTTGATGGTCTAAATATCTTAGTTAACTCGTTGTGTTTTTGTCATGAAACAGGTGGGGAGGAGTAGCTCATTTTGCACTTCACCACTGGAGTGAAAACCAGAAAAGACTGTTTTATGATGGCTCAAATATTTTGTCTCAAAAACTTGTTCTAGTGTCTGTGAATCTATTACATGTTGCCATTGGGATCATTAGCAATTTGGATCCTTGCTTTAGGAAAGCATGCTTGACTGCTGCAGTTTCCTTGCCGCCAGTTGTTTATGAAAGTCTTTTTCAGAGTCAGAGGAACACTTTTTTCTACTTAATTGATAAAATCTGTATTGAATCTAGATTCATGGAAGTCATAAGCAGCATAGAGGTTGCTGTTCGCAAAAATGAAGATCCATTCCAGCAAATCCGATGGCTTTGGGTTTTTTGTATGGAAAAAGAAACCAACAGTGAATACAACACCAATAAATCTTTCACGAGTGAAGATATACTTTCTTTGTGTGCCCAACACAAGGATAAATTAGAAGCTCTTTTTCTGAATGTGAAGTCAAGGTTTTGTAGTGAGGTGGTATTTGAAGAAGTTGTAACTAGTCACAGGATGCTGCTCCAGAAATATAGAAGTACCAGAAAGCAATATATTAATGGAATGATTTCACTTCATGATAAATTATAAAACTACTGTTTTATTTGTGTTTAACTTTACTGCTTCTGCGTAGAATGTATGAGATCATTTTCATCTGGTGGAATGGCTGATCTGATATCAAAATGCAATAGTGTCTTAGCAGTTACTGTAGGCTGTGGCTTACAAGTTTTGTGCAACAATGTATTGGGCAAACTACACAAGCAATATAATAATGCATCATGTAATCAGCTTAAGTATGTATGTAAACAAAACTTTTTTTTTCTCTCGCACACAACGCATTTTATTTATATATTGATGATAAGAACCAGAATACATATATGAATAAAATCTCTTGTGATGCAAAACTAAAGTTGCAAGACTATGGTTTGGGATGTTTAGGAGTTGGATGAGTTGTTACTCCGTGGTAATCTATATGATAGACAAGATCATGGGGACCATAACTGTTGCCGATATAATCTGGTATCGTGGAATCTTCGTTTACTGAGGTACTTTCCGTTGCCTTATCAACTCCCTGCATTTTATACTGCCAAGTACCAGGAATGAGTTGAAACAATGAGAAAACAAATGCAAGAGCATATTTTTATGAGTAGTAGTAGAAGGAAAAGGGATAAAACTTGTAGATGAAAGCTTGGTTTATGCCTTTTAGGAATGTGTCCTGTAGATTTAGTTAGAGGAAAAACGTACCTGTGTTTTGTGATCGTGGAGTGAGGCTGGCATGCTCAACTTGCGTGTTGTGGTAGCATCTAGAGAGTAGCCTGTGTGTTGGGAGAGGGAATATAAAGAGAATACGAGAAGGCAGCATAGAAGGAAGATTGAAGAACTCATTATGTAATCAATCTGAAAATTGAAAATAAGGAAGATTGGTCACTTGAAACATTTTATATAGAAGAGCATGGAAGTGCATGTATTGTCAGAAGAAGGAAGTGATGGGGGGAGAGAGAAGGAGAAAGTGTATGCAATTATTGATCTGGGAGATGAGGAAACATGTTTAAACCTACGTGCCCACGGTTCTAGTGCTTATGTTGGACTACTCTTATTCTCTCTCTCTCTCTCATGACATTAAAATAGTGAAAGAGGCCTATTCTCTTCCTTTTGCAATTTGAATTTTTTGACGTTCTCCTCCTTAGTGAAGAAAGAAGAGATGTTTAGTTCACGTGTATGTCTCATGCCAAATGAAACCACACTGTAACATCATCAACTCATGTTTTGTCCTCAACAATAAAGACTGGTTGTGATATGTCATCCTTTGGCTGCTATCTTTCTATGATATCTTACCCTTTCTCAATATCTTGCAGATTTTGTAGGCATCCCAAGGCACTTGTTGGTTGCAGTAATTTAGTCAAGGCCTACTCAATCAACTCTGAATCTCCTATCATTTCGTCTCCTTCTTGTTGTACATTGGACCAACCTCTTTGTTGCAACATGACTGTCTTCGTTTTTTTGGGTTTATCGCTTCAGGGTATATACTCCACCATTTCAACTAACCTCTACATTTTTCACTTCCACTTAGTCTCATGTCCCTTGCAATAAACTTATGTACAAACTTCTCCCTCCATTTCCTTCAAACTAATCACTTCTTTTTTCTCCTTTTAAATTACAAATAACCAGTAGTCTTTTTTTATCGACAATGATTGCTTTACCATGGCTGTGTTTGAACTTAGCTTCATTTCATTTTCAAGAGGATCGAGTGCTTCATTTCCTTTTCAGGAAGATGAGTGTCCAGTGTCCAACATGTCAATTCTAACCTTTCTGACTAATTATAGAAACGAATACTTTGCTTTGGTCATTCGTTTAGTTTCATCAAAACAAATGTAAGTCCAAGAACCAAATTAACCCAAGAGCTCAAGCAAATGAATGTACTTTGTCTTTAAGAAAATGTTCACACATCATCAATTTAAGTATATCATGTATGTAAAGATTGACACAAAAGTTTATGTCTAGGTATATCCATCCCCAGAGGGATATATGTAATCCACAACCAGTGGAACGTAAGCTTTGGAAGGCAACTTTATAAGTGAAAATTGAAACTTGGAGACATGAGTTGTACAATTTGGGTCTACACCACATGGACCAGATTAAGAGTCTGTTACCTAACATGGACTGAGTACCGAAACATCACCTACTTTTATAACACCATTAGTGTATCATTTGGCAGAAATATTATAGTTATAGCGTCTTCAACGTTCCTGTGCTGGGACTATTAGCAAGGAGTTAAAGTGTTAAAATCATTGAAATGGAGTTAAAGTGTTAAAATCATTGAAATGTTGTCAGCTGTTATTCACTAGAATATGGCATGTACCATGGCTTTGTCAATTAGGTTTTCGAAATTTTTGCCTAATGATATAGGCCATCAATTTGACACTAACTGTAGCATGAAATACTTAATTTATGTTCTCTTTAATCTTTAAACTATAAATATCTAATGTCTTAACACACTTAGTATGAAAAACTCCTTCAGGTGGTAATTTTTGTTATCATGGTGCTCAGGAGAATCTACATCATGTTTACAACTTATTGATCTTTAATATTTGAATGATCCATTTTTATGTTATCAGTACTTTCAATGAAAATTTTGAAATAAAGTTATAAGATTAGCAATAAATTTTAGGAAATAATGAAGCTACAGCTATACTTTTGAAACTCGAGTTGGTAACAGCTCCACTAAAGATACTGAATCAGTTGATTATTCATGGAAAAAATAAATAGTTAGTTGAATCGCAATAATTAATATATTGATTTAAAAGAGTTATTATGCTTAATCCTTTCAGCAAGATTTAGGACAAGAAATTATTAAGTAATTAGAATTATTATACGTTTATGTTTTCGATGAATATTGTATCCTGTAAAATTAACTTGATCCGCAAGTAGACTAATCACAAATTATAAAATTTGAAAAGGTTGGCATAAAATTTAATTGACATTATATGCATATTTTGAATTTTTGACAGTAAAACAACACGTTTTGATGAGAGTAGGTACCAGCCAGTTAGGCAGCACTACCACATACAAATTTTCAAATATAAAATTTTCAACACTAATGTGCATTTTCAAATTGTACTTGCCAATATGCATAACTACAATTCTTTGTAACACTTTTTCTTTCTATTTTATTATTTGATATTATTAGATAATGATTAAAATAGAATTTAATACATTTTTAATCTATATAAACACCTTTTTAAAATAAAGTTTCAGTTCAGAAATAAAAATTTGACAATCTTGAACTTTGAAATTATTTTCTGTTAAAATTCAAAACTGTCATTAAAGGTATTTTTCCTAAGATTAGTTCAAAAGTTAGCTCAAAGATATCAAAAAACTACTACCAGCAAGTTGATAGCAAAATTGACAAGTATAAAACAATAGATTCAAATAACTGATTAGTATAAAATAGTAAACGTAGATGTGTTAATTTTAGATTTTTGTAACATTATATTTTAATTTTAATTATTATATGTTTTATACTATGTATTTTATTATTTATCCTGTGTTATGTTTAAAAATACTTTTCAGTTATAAATTTAAAATAAAGTAAAATTTTATACTTCTAAATAGAGAACATTATATTTCAATTATATGAATTAATATACTCGTTAACAAAAGTGTAATATTAAAAATATGATATAATATCTCAAAATTTAATGTAAAAAAAATACTATAAATAATATAGTATATACCTTTTAGTGAAAAGGATTAGTTTTTGCTATAATCTTATAATAATTTATTTTTAGTGTAAATATTTTAAAATTAAATTAATTACTTATAATAAAATTATAATTTTATTTTATATTTTTTTAATAATTATTATAAAAATTATTTTTTTTGTCATGATAATAAAATAAATAAATATTGTAGGCAGCATGTATTTTTTACAAATGGTTATTATAAATAGGCTTAATTACCTACTTAGTCCTCATGTTAGGAGGTAATTTTCTGTTTAGTACCCGGTTTTAAAAATGTAGGCATTTGGTACCTATGTTTTGAAATTTGTATCAATTCAATCCTATCCAGTTAACGGCGTTATAATTGATGCGAGAAATTAAGGACGTTAATGAAGATGCATTCAAACATTTGATAGCTATTCCACCCAGGCTATCATTAACGTCCTTAATTTCTCGCATCAATTATAACGCCGTTAACTGGATAGGATTGAATTGATACAAATTTCAAAACATAGGTACCAAATGCCTACATTTTTAAAACCGGGTACTAAACAGAAAATTACCTCCTAACATGGGGACTAAGTAGGTAATTAAGCCTTATAAATATCATAGTATAAGAATTAATAAAAAATTAATTATTATCTATATACAAAATATATATACATCTATAACTATCTATACCTATATATATGAGCTTACATATTTCTTTCACATACACATCTACTTTTTTTTTTCTTATTTTAGCTTTGTCTATACCTACATATATACATATATACATATATACATATATACATATATACATATATACATATATACATATATACATATATACATATATACATATATACATATATACATATATACATATATACATATATATATATACCTCTCTCTATATATAATAAATTAAAGTATTTTGAAAATGTAACTTTCTCTCCAAGGAGTTTTGGCTTAATATTTATTTTAGTTTTTATTTTTATAATTTTTATTCAGAGTGATCTTCGATGTTTTATGTGGTTTCTTTTTTTTTTAATTTTTGTTTAATTTAATCTTTTTGCTAACAAAATTTAAATAGTTAACTACACAATGTCCATGTGAGCCTTAGTAAACGATGTGACTAAACATTTTGTCTGATGTAATTGTCTATGACAGTGAAACAATTATGGTTTTCTGGTTTTCCATAGTAGTGAAACAATTAGCGTTTTCTAGTTTCTCATGATAGTGAAGCAATTAGGGTTTTCTAGTTTGGGTTTTTGATTTGTAGGTTGTTATTTCGCGGTGGTTCATTGTGGTTCTACATTGCAGGTGCGTGGAGGAGACACGACTTTTGTGGTGGTCTTCTCTAGTGAAGCTACGAAACTTCAAACTCGCGATTTAGGATTTTCTGGTCTGATTTTTTTTCGATTCGTAGATTGCTCGTGCTAGAGAAGATGACAAAGGACGTTGTGTGTGAATGTAGTTAGGTTTTATCGCGGTTTGGAAATGGAGATCTATGGTGGTGAGAACTGGCATTGCAATTTGGGATTGTGGGTTCGAGATGTAATTTGCAATTTGGGGTGCTCGCAATTTTGTGGTTTTGATTTCTTTTTCGATTTGAAGCATTCTGATGTAGGTTGCGATTTCGAACAATGGTGACTTATTGTGACTTTGTGTTACTATGTGGTGATTGACAAAGATGGAAGGTGCAAGAATGACGAATCATTAATGACGATTGAAGGATACCATGATAATCTAGTGGTGAGAGGTTGAAGATGATGCGGTGGGAACAGACCATGAACAACCACGTCAGAAAAAATGGGTCATGTCATTCACTGATGACTCACATGGACACTGTGTCATTAACAATGTAGACGTAGAAAAATAATTAAATTGAACAAAAATTAGAATCACTTTCAATGCTAAAAAAAGTCCAGGATCATCTTGAACAAAAATTACGAAAATAGAGACCAAAATAAGTTTTAAGCCTAAACTTAAAAAGTCACTTATAAACATTTTATGTACAATGATTTCAAATAACACTTCCATCTTTTTTCTTACCGCAATTTTTGGCACAAATTAACCGATGTTTATTTTCTAATACTCCAAATAAAAAAGTTTATGACCAGTATACCTTCTATCTTCATGCGACATTACTCCATCAAGCTTTTGTCCATTACAAAAAATTCTTTATTGTTACTTCTCATAAGTTTAGGTTGTGTTATTAAGCTAAAAAGTTTTTAAACTAACAATTCAGAGTTATTACTAATTGAAAAATGACATTAAAAATAATCTAATTTAATAATGATATAATCATACTAACTATTAGTCATTAATAACATTTTCATATAAAACATTTTTATTTCTTTAATTATTTTTTTATAAGTGTTAATCTCTTGTACCTTTTAGTTTCTCAGTAAAATTTTAAACCGTTTTAGTGTCTAAATTAGGTTTGA